GTGTGTGTGTGTGTGTGTGTGTGTGGTGTGTGTGTGTGTAATAAATACATAATATAAAAGTACGATAAATGTATGCAATTATGAAGTGCTCTCTATTCAGAATTGTATTATTTGAGAAATAATATACATACCTATACAAAAACAATATACAAAGATTAAATTTCGTAGTGATAAAGAGAATTGCGGATAAATGAAATTTATATAAAAGCATAATAACGAATATTCATTAATTTTTTATTGCATATGATGTTATTAATTAATTAATTATTAATTATTTTTTTCTCCTTTTCTCCCACAATTTTAAAGAAATCAGATTACACTTAAAGGCCAAAATACTATAAAATATGTATATTTGGAAATACGCATTACATTTTAAACTATTTATTTTCTAACTTTGATATATATATAGTTCATAGTTTGATAAAATTATTTACTTATTTGCGCTTGTATAACGATAACTAAAACAGTTGCAATAGACATAATGAACTGCAAATAAAAACAATGTATACATTTTTTTTAAATACTAGTCACGAATTTAAGTTACGTGTATTAATATTATAAGTACATATTACATACCCTCTGAAGAAATTTGAAACCAAATTGGAAAAGTCCTATTCCGCAGAATCTAAGTGGCATATGTACAATTTGTAATGAAAATTGTGATATCTATGAAAAACAATCGATTATTTTTTTATATACATACATTTATCTATTATTTAGACATTGTTGAATATTTATTTTAATAATATTGCAACGAACTTATTTTGACACTTACGATTTCTCGAATTTCAACATCACAAGTGGAATACCATAATCTGTTTATTAAATTTGCTGTTGCATCTGCCTAAAATTAGAATGTGCGAAATAGAGCAGATATTGTGCTTCTAATTCAATAATATAAAATAGAATGTCACTTAACATTCAAATTTTTATTAAAAACAAATTTTAGATAGATAAATATTTTAAATTAAACATATAATTATTACCTTGGTGCTAACTGTTTCGCACACATAATTAATGAGCAGAAATTTAAAAATGCTTTGAGAAAGCCATAACAGGTTCACTCCTACATACTTTATTTTATCAGATTTCATATAATTGTCCATAAGTACATAGAAAGTTCCGCGAATATCAAATACTATCCAACCAAAATAGATTGCCATTTTGAAAGACATTTCTCTTACAAATATGGAATCTATATCGTAACATATTTTGCATAACTCCAAGTGAAGATGTCTGTAAATATTAGGTACATTTTATTTTGTACATACTGTATATAATATTAAGTTTTATTTAGTGATATTTATATAGTTAATGGAATTTAGTTAGACTTTCTTACCTAATAATCCATATCATGCGTTTGGTATTTAAAGTTTTCGAAAATCGGTGAGAACGCTTTATGAGATTTTTTCGAACTTGTTTTGTTTTATCGTTATCTATCAAATTCTGAAGGTGTTTATTAATTTGATCAAATTTTAATCCTATGTATCTAAATATATAAGAGAAAATTAATGAATAATTTTATTAAAAGAGAAATATATGAACTTTGAGAATATTTCGATAGTGATTAAATTTTTATAGCTGACGATTTAGTTTTATTAATTTATATACATAATTAAGTTGTGGAATAACTGTCATATACGTGCGTGTGTGAAGAGTTACGAATAGTTCTGACTGGGGTTCTGGATTGTAGTTCTCGACAAGTTCTGACGAAAAGTTTTATGGTTCAACGCGGTTGGATGTCTAAATAAGGAGATACATGTTTTATTATTAGTTTTTGAAATTTCGTTTTAAGTCTAGATATTTTTTATTTTTGGTTTTATATATTTTTTAAATTAAGCTATTTTCGAAATAAAGAAGATAACAATTAAAATGTCACAGCA